TATATTTGACAAAGCTACACATGCATAACAGTTTCTGATCATTGAAGCATTTGATAGCTTACTGTATGCATGTAATGTTTTGTACACCACAATATCTTAAATATACAAAACACTAACTCCAAACATTGTCCTGGAGAGCCCCCTTCCAACAGGATTTACTGTACAGAATAGACAGACTTTAACATTTCCATTTCTAAAGTTCTGGAACAATTTAACTATAATCACTTAAACATATGGTGTGTCAAATTAAGTTATTTAAGCATGATTTGATACAAAAATCCGAATATCCTGTAGCCCCCAGGGGCTCCCTTCATTTAAACATTGCTTGCTTAATAGTTCAATTGCTTTAACAACTTTAACGATGGCTTTAATTAATTCAGGTGATTTTGAATGACCAATACGAATGATTGGACTGGGGCACTGCAGGATCAAGGTTAGAGAAACGGTTCTAGTTTCTACTAATTATGAGATACTATTACTATTATGAGACACTATTCAAGAGATAATAACTGGATCATATTGTTTTTCACAATGAAGGCTGGAAAATGCAATGCATATTAAACAAAACTAATTATATTTTATAACCTACTCATGGAAACCCTTTTTGCAGTGATGGTTTGTACAAGTGAGCAGGGGAATTTTTTGGAAATGTAGGACGTTTTCCTGGTGAATCTAAAAAAACTCACCAGGAGCATTTTCATTATAATTTACCATTAAAGGAAATGCGCTCTTTGTAAAAAATAAATCTCTCTCTCTCATTATACATTCACACTATCAACACTGCTAGCCCATGGCTAATTACTGACGGATCTTAAATTGATCATTTGTGCAAAATACGACAACACCACTTCTATTACTTTTTAACATAATTAATTTAGATTCAGCTAAGTTTGATTTAAGCACTGAGAAGTCCATCATGTGGACTAAGTTTGTGTTTCATTAATTTTTTCTACAATGTTCTCAAAAGCTAAAAAGAAGAAAATGATATAAGCATAAAAATGTAATGACCTTAAATACTGGAATGATTGGAACTCAAAGTTCTAGTTTGGGACTCGTTCCTAATTTGGAAGGTACAAAACGTCCCTCACAGAAAAAAAAATCATACTTATAGTATGTGCAAGGTCAAAATCTTTTTTTCCTGGTTATGAAAACCTTGGAAAGATAATGCCAGCACGCATGCATTCAAAGACACTGGAGTACCTCAAGATCTCATGAATGAGAAAATTATTTTTCAAATATGAAGAGACAATAATTAAGTTCAGTATACTTTAATGTATAATGAGAGCAGCCTTTGAAGTTTAGCTAGAAGGCCTACAATTAAAAAAACAGCATATTCTGCATCTGTTAAAAGTTGATCTCTAAATTTAGGCCTAATTCACTGAAGCTTTCAAGTTCTCCTGGACAACTATTGTGATTTTAATTTACAACAATATGAGTTACAGTATTTAGAACTTACGGTGATTTTAAAATTGTACGATATGTGGACTAAAAATATACTAGTTATTACTTGAAATTTCAGTGTGTTTTGTTGGGCAATTAGACACTCATAAAAGAGCTGTAAAAATCCTATAAATATGTTTTGCTTTGACATAAGTGTTTGGAGTCGATAGTCAAAAGTCAAAACCAAATAATTTTCTGTTAAGAAAAAGCAGTCAATTTCTATAACCATAGCACAGACATTGAACATAACTAAATCAACAATTTGGAATGAACTGAAAGAGGTATATTTACCAATTGGCTAATTTGACCAGATTGGCAGAGAAAAGCATCCGTATCTAATGACTGAAAAACATTTAGTGCTGTAAAGGGCCCCCCTAAAACAGTTGTCAGTGAAATCACCTAAAAGGTCTAGTGAAACTATCAAAATAGAGTTTTCGTATGCAAAAGACTGAAACAACACAGCTACAAAGACTATAGTACAGGATGAAAGATAAGCACCAAGAACAGAAAATTCAGATTCCAATTTGCTCAGATGCAACAGGAGAGTTTTGGAACACAGTTTCATGGACTGAAGACCATCAACAGAGTAATGGAAAGTGTACAGTGTGATAAAAGAAAGGAGCTGAAGGTGCTCCAAAGAATCTGAACCTCATCATTGAAGCAAGCAAGGTAATGTCATGGCCTTGAAATCATGTGAGCCTGTGAGCTTGGCTAACTCATCTTTACGTGTGGTGTATCTAATGATGACAGCAGATGAATGAATGAAGTCTGTAGTTTACAAAAAAAAACATTTTTCTCCTGATGCAGAAAAAAGTGCAATATATTTCACTGTCCATTTCAATATCCAGATTTCAATTTAATTGAACCTGCATTTTATTTTCTGAATAAACTGTTGAAGTAAGAACAACTGCAAGAATAGGTAAGAGCTCAAAGCAGCTGCAGAAAAGGCCAGGCAAACCATCACAAATAATTAGACAAAGAGTTTCATGAGATCAGTGGGTTGCAGACATCATACGTTTACTGTCTCAAAGGGATTTGCAACCAAAGGATGACTTTTAAACTGTGAAATTTACATTCAATTGAATGTGTCCCAGTAGTTTTGATCACTTGAAATCACTGGGTCGAACACAAACTACAGTATGTATGTTTTTCTAATATGATCAAATGTATGAATTTAATTGAAAATATCGTACTATACTTTTTGTACTAAGCTCCCCAGCACAAATAAAAATTGCTTAGTAGTAGCTAAAAAAAGTTTTTGATTTTGCTGTCCTAAAACATATAGAGGGAACATACAAAAAACGTATGCTATGAACACCTAGTCAATCTACATATAAAAAATATTAAGTCATTAAAACAGTAGATGGCAAAACATGGCAACCATTAGGGACAGTTTCACTGACATTGAAGATAAACTGAAGGAAAGTTCAGGAGAGACTAAGTGAGAGTTAGAGAGACTTTATCTAAGCAGCTGAGTGGGCAGCAAAAGAAATACAAGAAAGCACAATAGAAACACTGCACGCAGGGAAACCTGAGGGAGGGATTTGTAAGGCCTTCACTCAGCTGATGTTGTGGTGAATTTATTAAAGGATATGAATGATGGCAAAATGATTAGTTGCAGAGAGTATCATGGATAAACTGTATGCAAAGTGTGAGATGGAAATGTTGCCCAGGTCTGTTAAGGCAGTACCTAGAACTTGGACTTACAGGATGAGGTACAAAGAACTCAGCCTCAATCTGTTCCATCTAAGAAACCTTTAAATAGCTACTGTAACACCATCTGAAGGGAGAGAATAAAGGGAATCTGAAAGAGTACGGAGAAAGACTACCCAAAACAGATCAAAGAGACATATGGATGGACTAGATGAGAACAAGATTATGTGGCTTGAAATGACATGTAAATTAGACTAAATAAATGTGGTTTTGTTATCTGTACCACAAAGTTTGGTTCTTTTGTCCCAGGTAATACAGAGACTAGAAGCAGAGTACCTTGAAATCAGGCAATGTGCCGGGGAGAGAAAAAGGTTTAGAAACAAAATGGAGATTGACAGATGTTAAGGAAAAGGACAGACTGCACAGAAATTTGCCAGAAAGAAGGGCAGGAAGCTAAAGGGATAGATAAGAAAGAAATAACACTAAAAAAGGAAGAAATCCTTTGAATACTCTTATACTGAACATTTGCAGTAGAACTCAAAATAATAGGGGAAAAAATCAGACACGAACTGAAAAATAAGCAAAAATGAGTGAACTACAGCTGATAACAAATGAGGCAAATCAGCTAAAGAAATTTTGTGGAACTGCCTTAGGATAAAAAATGGAACATTAGGCAAATACAGGCTTGATGACAAAAACTCTACCTTAAAATGTGGTTGTGTAAAGAGTGCAGATAAATGTGCATCACAACTAGAGTTGAATGGGCATTCAAATAAAAGAAACCTCTATACTGGCAACTTTAGACCAGTTATTTATAAGAGTGGGGTGTTAACTCTGGCTTTTTCACTAAATCTTGTATGTCTCATTTTAAAAAGTCTAACATACAGTACCTAAACGTTCCTGCTAATTCAATTGGTAAATTAGTATAATTTCTCACTAATATCTCCACTACAGTGTACTGAAACTAGTGGCTCATAAAGGCATCTGTGTGTACCTGGAAAGTATTGTAGTTCAGTGGTAAATTGGGTGGTCTTCTCTGTGTAAAATGTTATATAAAATGTGTTATTATTACTAATCAGCTTGGGGAGAATAAATTCAGGCAACTAAGCAGTTAACATATTATCTTTTACAAATTAATTAAGTAGAGCCTACAGTTCAGAATATTCCCAAATACATGGAGCAATTTGTGTGTGGATTTGGCAAATACTTATGGATCAATGAAATAGAAAGCGATGTAATTCAGGATGGATTACTTGTGGATTTCAAAAGAAGTCACAGAACATGTTGCACATTACTTCAGCGGCTTTAGAAAAAGCTTTATAAATAAAGCACTTTGCCGTAGCTCAGCAGTGATGGGGAAATGGAACCTACTGCATATGGGATACAATGTTACCATTTTGTTTGTGATGCTTAAGGTTTAATGTCCATTGTGTAACAAAGAAGTTACTCCATACAGAGTAAGTATATATACGTAGCTTAGTATAACGTCATTTCATGCATTCTTCTGCTTTTAACTCCCATGCCAAAAAAAAAGCATCAGAATTTAGCTTAATTCATAATGTATTCCCAGAGTTGCACACTGTTGCTGGGGATGCCATTGCATTCATTTCTAGACAAAAGAAAGCATGTTTCCAAAATGCGTTCAAGTGATAGCTCTGAGAGCTTACTGTACACACAGAAAAAAATAGGTGTGTTGTCTTATACTGTAGGTGGTGCCCCACATATACACACTTACACATATACAGTATGTGTATATATGTTTATGTAGAAATATATATTTTAATATTGTTAACATCTTAAAGGAGTGATAAAATTTCTACTGAAGCTAAAATACATAGAAAGGAATGCTGTACTCAATATATTTTTACATATCTATCTAAAATAATTTTACTTAAGAAGCACAGCATACATATTTTTTCATTTTAAAAGCTTTTTGGAGCACCAGTTAAATAAACCTGTGGAACAGTCGTTGATTATATCTTTTGATAACGTAACAAATTTCACTCTAGTTTTCACAATTTCTACATTTGGAAAACTTGCATTTTAAATATTCTTCCATGCCATACTTATAAGGCATACATTCTCACTTTCCCCTAGAACATGGGTCAGAAAAACAAAAGGTGAAATTTTGTTTATGCTCACAAAAGCTTTTATTGATTTTATATACTGTATATAGATTATTTTTTGCAACTGAATAGGCTGTACATTCATGTGCAATTTTTCTTCAAAATTTGTTTAAGGCTGTATGGCACAATAAATCTATCGAGGTTCATTTACAAAGAGAGGTTGACTTTCTTTGAGACTGCCTGTGTTAAAACATCCCCTTTTTAAGAATTTAAACTCAAAGGAATCATGTTAGATAAAATTGTAATGATTGATACTGTATATTTTTTAAGCCTGGGTAAAGATAAGGACTTTCAAAAATTCATGTCTCTCAGTTTGACAAATGGTAATCTGTCCTATTTATATATTCTATTCAATATCCCATCATCAACCTTTAGTTCAAAACCGTGGATAAATGATGCAAAACTGTAATCTTGAATCAGCTCTACTGATGCAAAATCTAAAGATTTCACACCAACTATATGAATAACAACAGAGAACATGTGACTGTTTATGAATGGTAGGTTACAAGAGTTCTGGCTATTTGTTCTTTCTGCAAGCATATCGTAGGTCCAAGGCTTATGCACTATAAACTGAATTTTTTTATGTACAAATACCAGCATTGACAAAACTATTACTGGTTTCCTGGGCCATGTATTCTAGCATTGACGTACCCTGTTGTTTAGTTTACTGTGTGAACATGACATCATTAAAGAAAACCATGCGGATCACAAACCACTAATCTTTCTTCATGAAAGAAATTCTCAGCAATACACAGTCCAACAATCTACAGAGCATTGCTGCCTTTTGTAAAAAATAACTTCACCTTTTCACAAACTATTAGTCCAAACACAACCTCTGTCTATCTTTTGAACCACTTATATGTAAAGGACTAAAAAAACAAAATCCCAATACAAAATTCAAGAAAAATCAAATTAATAATTAAAGTTTGGTACTCAGACCACAGTAGTCTGGAATAGGAAAAAGAGGTTACACTATCTAAACACCATCTTAAAAACTTAAGAATTAAACAGATACAGCTTTATTAACATAAAATATGATTCATATTGCCTGAAAAATGTAAAACATCAACTCCAAACTAAATTACAGTATTTATATACCTTCAGATAAAATGCATTTATTGGGTCTCCTTCTAAAATCGCCTAGTAAGAGATTATTTACGAAGATTTTTCACTGACGATAACTAAAAACTGGTTCAACACAAATGCAAAATTTAGAGAAAGCACTGCATGGGTACTAGTCATATAACTGAAAATGGTGATATTTATAAATGTCAAATGCACTTAAAAACTACAGATTACTATAGTTACACTGTAGAAAGAGTGTATTAAATGCATTACATACATATAATATTCAACAAAATGTTTGTACTAATTCTAAATAGATCATGAAATAGCTCTAAACACATAAATGATAATTCAGTTTAAAGGGGAACTGCAATGCTATTTTTACATTTCAGGGTTATAATGAATCCGCAATAAGGAATGGATTTCAAACCACAATGAAACTACGAAGTACACAGTAACGTGTACAACAGCTAAATTTACATCACAAAAGACACCAAGTTTCAATGTATGCATTGCGCCATATTGCTGTCATTATCTGCAATTCAGAATGAGGAACAAAAAACCTCTGGTGACGTGAAAGAGGCCGTATTACATTGTAAAAATGCTATGAAATTAATAGTAAATGTTTTCATGAAACTTACATTGTAAATTACATGAAACTTGCTCATGTAAGGTGGCATGTTTTTGAAATACCTTTTTAAGTATTGCAAAAAAAAGATCAACCTGCTATCCAACTAAAATACACTCAAAATAATTAACATTGTTAGGAGCCCATGTTTCTCATTTGCTCACAGTGACTAGTGAGCAGGAAGGGTTGCTTTCACGTCACAATTCGCACAAATCTCACCCTCACCCTTGGCAAGACCGGCGGTTTCTTGTCTGCCTGCAACAACATGGCAATCAGACAGTACTTTCACATAGTCTCCGATTTTAATCTTAATTCAAAATTGGTAAAATTTTGTGATTCTATCAATTAATTTGTTTTGTTACCAAGATTTAATAAGCGATCTGAGAAATTGGGACTGCAGTTCCCCTTTAAAGGCATTATATTCAGATAAAAGAATCATATATGCATAAAATACTGTACTGTATACAGTATGTGTAGTCTGTGAGTCTTGAAAGGTGCCAAAAGCTCAAGCTAATGCTATCACCACTCAAAAAGTGAAACATTTACTGCTGTGCAAACCTCTCAGAAATGTTGCGTGGTTTGGCTCATTCCACTTGATATTTTCCTTCTTTATGCACTATTTAATGGTGATTTTGTACTGAAATTTTGTATGTATATTGTAATCCAAAATAAACTTTTTGATTTTTTGGAAGTATAGAGAGATTTTATAGAAAGTATAAGTATAAATGGTGTTAATGATGAGGAACGCCTGTCAATAAGTCAATGAGATTTGATGGTAAATGTGACAGACAACTACAACACTACATATTGGCAGCTCAAGTGCAGAGTTGTACTTGATTTATTGTGATCAAGCGTTGAAGATTCCAATTAATGTGAATGAAGACTTCTTCCATGAAATGTTCCTCTTCTCATCCAAACTAAGCTGTTAATTCTATTAGTAATTAGTAGTAGATGGTTGAAAACTCTGAATACATTGTTGATTCTTATGACATACGTATATTGTACAGTAACTGTTGAAGGTATCCAAGACTTTTGCACAGCAATATACAGTATATGGAGCCAGGATGTAAGTTTATAAAATAATTACATTTGTGATCCCAGGATAGCTACCTGTTATTAATACCATGACTACACTCTTATTACTGTGTAACTTCTATTTTACAATGTAGACAGAATGTCAATTTAAATAAATATAGTCAGGATTGAAATTAATTGAACTGTTATAGACTGCAAAATATCTTTTAAGTAACCTTTTGAATTTATTTCAGTTTTTCTTCTTGAACACAGACACTGATTTCAACTTTCCCTCATCTTTGCAACATACATACAAAGTGAACACAACTTTGACAAACTTTAAACACATGGCGGACAGAACTAATTTTCAGTGGGCATATGCCCGGTATCGGTCCCTGTGGCACAGTAAGCTGAATCGATTTTTTCCCTTACTCTTGGGAGTGTGCGTACAGTATATGTACCCTGCAGCTGTCTGGTATGGCCTGGATTAACGAACAAGTTTAGTGTGGTGCAGTTAATCAGTACTAAGACTTGCTATTTTTAACATTACAGAACACTGTTCTAAATGCCACTGACAATAAATCATACATTCCTTGCTCAATGATCAAAATAGATGATTAAAAAATACTATGTGCTTTGCATTGTTTAATTTTCTTTCCATTTAAATAAAATTCAAAATTCCTTTTCTCCCTCCAGTTTCTATCAAACAGAAACCATCTAATCTGCTACACTTGGTTTTCTCTTTCCTTTTTTAGCACCTGTTTCGATCTGACACCTGTTTGATTCTGACATTTTTATGTGATGCGTTAATCAGTCCGACAGAGCCAGAGAAATCATTTTCACGGGCTAGAGTGGTGCAAATACGAAAATCCAAATTGCACAAAATAACAAATACGTTTAAATGTAGGCGTGTACTGTATCATCTAAATTAAATATGTTTTGTAATGGGCTAATATGTACCCTGTCCGTCCTTGTGCCCAATGTTTCTTGAATAGTCGCCAGATTGCCATAATGGATAAGATGCACCCTTGCCTATCAGATGTTGCAAGAAGACACTCATTAAATAAAGGGTGATACAGAGAAACGTCCAAACAATTTTTTAAGAAAATATTCGAGCAATTTAATATATGTCTAATTATTTATATGCTACAAATGCAGGGTCTTGGGGAATGATGTTTGACTGCACAATGGAAAAAGAAAATCCTTCATATGTACCCTTGCAATTCAATTGCCATGCTATTTAGTGATCGTCATAACCTACATTTCCCTTGGAAATACACACATGAAAATTCTTAGTTGCAAAAATGCACTATTCTGTATTGTACATTTGACTTCCAGAACTAAGCAGTTTATGACCTTGACCAGAAATCATTGCTTTCTAAAAATATAATGCTTAGTTTCTGGAACGGACTAATGCATAAAAAGTTGGAAAGAAAAAAAAAATCCTTTTAATCCTTTTTTTTTAAGTTGGCACAATATTATTGGCATGTTTCATAATTTACACGATCCCGTAGAAATGTTGAAAATACTGAAGTGGGTGAGGGTGACTGGCTGTCTGAAAGTCAACCTAACATTTCAGCCTTTTTTTCAGTTCCCACTATACAACAGTGTGAACAAATGCCTGTCTACTTAAAAGAAATCTGTTGGGTGTAGAGCCATTATTTTCAACATTTTCCAACACTGACAAAGCATAGCTCACAGAGAGGTAGCCCATCTACATCTCAGAAGTGATGACTGCACACTCAGCTTTTAACTACAGTACATCATGCACGATTGAGGTATTTCAAGCATTGGCACTTTCAAAAGTATTACTTGATTGACCTGGTATTCTTAGAAGGACACCGTCAAACAAGCTTTAAAATCAATAATCATAACAATCAAACAATAAATCAAAATATTTCTGTCAAAACGGATTTCAAACCTGTGAACAGGGTCATCACCTCTGTGCTACCACTGAGACCTCAAACTGGTTGCGTATTTCGCTTACGCATTAGCCCAAGATCACTGTTGCTGGTGGAATTCTAAGAAAGTTGCACTTTGTGATTCATTTTGAAAATGTTGAAAAATGCAGACACCCCTGTAGATTAATCTAAATCAGCACTGGAAAGCTACAACAGATGTTTACAATTTTAAAGGTACTGCCGTTAAACTAAAAAAAAAAGTATCACTTCCCTTTTCAAAGGCAGGTGCAATTTTGCTCCTTGAAAGGAGAAAACCAGCAGCTACGTATTGTGTATATTTCTGGGTAACTGAACGTATTCTAAAGTAATGCGATTTCTCAATTACACTGGATACAATGACACAAACCTGATATACAGTACATACAATGACAAGGTTTGGAACTGATAAAGTATGGTTAACAGACGGGAAATGCTGATGTATCCTTTGTCCTAAAGTCTGGTCTGGGCCTCTGGGATGTAAATCTCGATGCTGTCAGCTCTCTCGGTAGCAGAGTTCTGCCTGAAGGAAGCTGCCCGCTTGGCTGCCATCAGTCTTCTTCTGGCTTCCTGTCGCTGTCTGTCTGGAAGATCCAGGGACTTTTCTCGCGTGACACCTGGTTTACCTTTTGGGGGCTTCTTTGGTACTGGAGGGGGCAATTTCTTCTCTTCCTAAAATACATAACCACAACATACGTAGCTGGAGTTACAAGGATGAGCACTGACTCTTGCATCGTCCTGTGCATAAAGTTTAAAGGGGGTGAAACCAAATAAGGAATACCATCCGTTTCAACCATTCCAGCTATAGAATATAGAATATCAAATATAGAACAACTCCTACCCATATTACCTCTATGTAATTCACAGTAGAGTTCATTGCAAAAGTATTCAGTCCTTTACTATGGTGTCCCATTTTCTGAGAAATGTATGTATGCATTTCTTAATATATTATTCAATACCTACAGTAAGTGCTCAGACTAAGACAAATACAAAAGTAAAAACTAAATAGAAGAAACTGAAATATGCTGGTGGCATAAGTATGCTGAATATGTTGGGTTTCCATCAGGTGTAATGCTTTGCTTTTAGATCAGAAAGTTCCACTTCTAAATGATTGGCATCAACATGCACAGCGATATTTCAGGTCTTTTAAATGTTTTTATAGCCTTCTCCTGATCTATGCCTTTATACAGTCTGATCCCTGTGTTGACCTGCAAGCTTGTTGGCCTTCATGGTGTTATCTTTGCATTTAAAATTCACTACCTGACTGAGAAATCTTGTATAAATAAATGTATTTATTCTGAAATCATATGAATCACTACTATTTCACGCAACTAATTGTCTGGCTGATTAAGGTAGTTTTGTACACCTACATTAATTTACAATAAGTTGATTAATGTACAATATGCAGTTTTACTGTTCTGAATATTGTTTTAAAAAGCTCCAGTTCATCAAGCCTTGATGGATTCTAGTACAAATAAAAATGTTCAAGAAACAATATTGAAGATGCATTTACAGTATATACTGTAACATCATTAGCAGGAGCCGTAGTTCCTATGAGAGGCAGAGGAATGCTTTGTTTAACACTGAGTAAATACAAGCTAAGTAAGAAAACACACTTATATGCAATTTGTTATGTATTGACTCAAGCTGAGAATCTGAGCAATTTAAACAGTTATAATTAGCATGCAATTATAATCAGGGACTTTCTTTCACAAATGAACTGGCAAAGTAGTGTTTTCAGTTACTGTATCTGTAGTTTTACACTACAGTATACTGTATCAGAGATTCACTGAAAACAAAAGGCCAAAAGATGCTCTGACCTAATGCATCCACAGTATGTATAGTACTGTACTGTACATGTGACTTACGTTTTTTACACCGTTCACCAAACACCACTAACAGCAGTCATCCCTTTACATGTTTTATGAAATTGACATAAATAAAGATTCAGTTTAATTGGCTTTTAGTACAACTATACAAAATGTCTTACAGTACATAAGACATTGTGTAATGGTTTTTATTTAAGGATTCAAACCTTTGGTTGGAAGTGAACTCCAGAACACCTTCCCATATTTCCGTGCAATCATATTAAATTTTAATTAATGGGTTTAATTAATGGGTTTTGCCTTACGTAACATTTTACCGGAATGCACTCCCCATGTAAAATGAGAAAATTGTTACAATACCAACACTTTTCAAATACCTTCAGCTATCATAAATATAAAATTCACAATCAAGTTTGAAGAACATTTAAAACACATTTCTGTGTACAAATTTGAAGGGACATTTAACATTTTTTGAAGAAACAAGATGAAAAAAGTTGTCATTCATAAGAAAACAATTTAAAAATAGTAAAAATGTTACAGTTAAAGATGAATCTTTATGAAAATCAACAAAAAGCTCATCAAGACAAAATAGACATCTGGTCTTACAGAATACAATTCTAATTTAACCGTTTTGTTTCCCTACTATTGCTGTTTATTTCTGCCTCATTCAAATGAAAACCAAACTGAGAATACCTAGCAGCAGAACTGCAGAACTCAAGGTGCATATATATAGTAAGTGGTTATATGAAAAAGTAACATTTTGGCTTGTACTATATTCTGAGGTAATTCTACAGTAAAGTTAGGCACACAAGAATACTGAATGCCTGTCACAGGGGATCAATAATACAGAACAAATCCTATCCACATGACCTTTCCTTAATTCAGAATAAACAGTGAAGCAAAATTGTGAGTTCATGACATTTGAGAAGGATCTGTAGCTGTGTGAGTGTGATACTGTGTGATATTTAACTATCCCTCTTATCATAGCTGAATGTAGCATGTCATGCTGTTAAGGTCAGACTGATCCAATTAAATGTAGCATTCCTGTAGACCCATCATCCTCTGTGTTACTAAACAAGACTTGAAAATGTTTGATTGTACAATGGCTTTAAATAAACACCAACGGTCAACATTTGTCCCATGACCCTTGAGTGTGAACTGACTGAATTGTCATCTCTTCCAACAAGCTGGTTTGTATTTTTCCAGGTTTGAGTGTAGTGGTGCATAAGATAATTATTTCATGATTGAAACCCACAAGAAATCAATGCTCAAAGCAAGCAATATTAGAAACAGTCTGTAAGCACAGACAAACTTGGAATAACAGATGTTTTTAGACAAACCTTCTTTTCTGGACTTTCGATGGGTCTCCAGGCGTTGTTCTTGATTTGCTGTAGCTCGTCAAACTTCATACTGACATCATCAATGGAAAGCTGCAAAAGGTCCCAGAATCCTGCTAGATCTTGAGAGGTCGGTCTGGGCATTGCACTGGGATCCTACCAAGAAGATGAATTACAGTACATTAAAACATTAAATGTACAGCAATTTTCCATGATGTCATTGTTCTCTCTAATCTCCGAAAAAAGGTCAAAGCTTTTAAAATCTCTGAAACCATACTTCTGTTGTGTTTAGACCTGGATTTGAAAAAGTGTACAGTAAATAACCACAAAATCCAATACAGGGTTATAGGTGATCTTATCCCAGCAAGGAAAGGGGATACACCCTGGACAGGACACCAGTTTATTGCAGGGCACGCAGAGACACAGACATACACACACCAACAGGAAACTCACTTAAAAACATAGGGAGAATGTACAAACTTCAAGCAGATAGCACATTGGTGGTATAGTGGTGAGCATAGCTGCCTTCTAAGCAGGTAACTGTTGTTTGTTTCCCAACCAACAAACCAGCTTCAAGCAGATAGCACCCCAGATCCAGAACTGAACCCAGAGCCCCAGTGCCGTGAGGTAGCAATGCTAACCATGTGCCACCACGTTCCCGTAGTGGTCCCAATTCTTTTTAGCTAAAGCAGCTTAACTCCAAATGTAAGCTCAGAAGAAAATATCCCCCACCCCCCAAAAAAAATTAACACAAGATAAACATCTGTCTAAAAAATGCGGCAAAGCGCAGTGAGTGGCGTTTTACAGAACCGAATGTTCATTTCAGTAGTTCGGTCAAATTCTAACGACGACGAAACAAGGTGCCAAATGTAAAGGGATAATGTACTTTTTACTTTGGTATTCATTTGACTGGCTGAGAAAATGAAAGTCCTGACCAAATGTTAGTGCTCTCACAACCCCCCTTACTGTTTCTATAGCTAGAAACAAAGTGTGGAGGTCTGAGGCAGCCAATGACTGTTCATACATGGGAGAAAGGAAGTGCAAGATTTGAATTTGACTTCCTCCTGAACTTCTGTTTTATACCATGACGTTTTAGACCATAAAGACAAATGAGGCTGAGCACAGAAGAAATGTACACAGTTTCTTAGAAAGGGTTTAATGTGAAATAAGAGTGGTTACCGTATTTCTAAATGTTCCCAGGAAATTTGAGGCCCACTTCCATTAAAAAACACTAGATGGCTCTATCAGCTATTTTTTTAGTTACATACTGTACTGTACATGGCAAGGCAAAGTCTTTTTGTACTGTATGTTTGGGTGACAGGACATTTCCTATGTTGTGAATAGATTTAGCAGAAGTAAATGCAGTAAAAAAAAATCAAAAAGATTCAGATAATTATTATAAATTATATTAATTAATAGGAAATTCATACTTTAAGTTTCACAGTTTTTTGTTGTTGTCCACAGCAACTATCACAAGATACTCTTTTACTTTTCTGACTTATATTAATGATACAATTATATATCCATGGCTCGGATGGACAATATTGTTTACTATCGTACTATGGATTACTATACTATTTGCAAACCTGCTAGAATTATGTGCACTGTTTTTAATTCAGCTCCAGCCTGGAGCAGTCTGGATTTACGTAGCTGTCCCTGAAGTACTAGTAAAATTGATCATATCAAGCAGAAGTGAACTCTTTAATTCCTTAGCTGTTGTACAGTAGATGATTAATTAAACAATGTGAAAAGTGTGTTAAAGAAAATCCTTTGTTTATTGAATACATACACTTTACAGAGCAAACAAGCAGAAGGAAAGATTGCTGATGACCCCTCCCAGGTTACAACCTTTTTCAGAAACTTCCCTCAAGAAGACACTACCAGACCATTAAAACCAGAACCACCTGGTATTTGAACAGCTTCGTTGCTAGGGCTGTCTTTTTGCTTAACCAGAATTCCTAGTTATGCAGTATGTGTACTGTCTTAATGATATATGTTGACTTGTTTGTGTGTGGTATACAGTATGTAAAGTATAATGTTTTTTGAACACTGAGTATACCAGAGTAAATTCATTGTACATGAAATCCACAGTACAATACTTGACAAATAAAGGTGATTCAGATTTAATTATTTGTACAAGTGATATTGTTGTATAGTAATGTATGCTGACTTATTAAAGAAATGACTGACATACATAACTGCACCATTAAATTAAAGGGTACTGTTTAATTAGAAAAGGGTCAGAGAAAACAGACTACAGAGACAATTTTTAAGTAGAATCACATAGATCAAGGTATTTTGGCAGGGCAATACTTGTTCTCTTCTGCCTGTGAATTAAAGAAGGATATTGGATTCATTTTGTTGATTATTAATACTAGGTTCATACTGATTCAATGACAACTACAAATATCGGGTCCATCTACAGTATGTTTGAATCTGCATTGTAGAGAGTATCCAGAATTCGGACATGTTGTTCAATGTTGTTCCAAATGTTTTGAATGCAGGCATTATACTATATCACAAAAGAAATCATATATGTAATACACTGACAGATTATTGTAATGTGTTTTTGTGTCTGACTCTCCTGCTTTTGAAGATCATGGTGTAACTAATTGGAATGTCAATTAATACCCTTTCATTTGGAGACTATAAGAATGAACAAAAACAAAACCACACAGACCTCTATAGGTTTTGTGGATTGATCATGAATTGAGGTCACTGAATAAGAACAAAAACATTTTCTTTGTTATGTAACTGAATCAGACGATCAGCAGGTCTGTCTTATGATCCTGTGAAAAAAGGAAGTCACTACGTCCCTTTAAAAATACTTAGAAAGTCATTATTCCTAAAGGGTAACAGACTAATATTTTGTTCCAGTTTGATTTTAGTTCTTGCATGTGCCTAAACATGTGTTCGGTGTATGTTGTTACTTCATTTTTTTTTACTGTTGCACTAATAAAAGATATGGGTCCTGAAGTTTTGGTTTGATTTAAGAAAATTGCAAATTTGCAGAAGCAATTGATTGATTTTGCCAAGTATCACACAGCTAAATAAATTGTCTTATGATGGCATGATACCAGAATGGTGGTAAAGAGTTCACTGAGATATACTGTATGCTGTATCACATTTGTCTTTGGTTGTCTTCCTTAACGTATCGTATCTTATCCAAAGATCTTAAAGGAGGCCTTCTTCGTGGTCATATTTGTCTCCAGGGATTTTGAGCTAGTAGTTCCAGTATTTCCTACGCCCAAAGATGATTTTCACTTTGAGGTCTGCCCATTGTCAGTTTTGTCAATGATACAGAACACTCTTGCTTGAGTGCTAACACATCTGTTTCTATCCTCTTTTTTGCAACAGACAATGTGTTGAAGAATACACACTGGGCATAAAAAAACCTAATCATTTTACTTACAGTATGCATTCATCATCCATTTTCTAAGTGCTCTTTCCAATTCAGGCATGTGGAGAACCCAGAGCCTATCTGAGCAAAGCAGTGACCACCAGGCATCGTACACCCTGATGGGCAGACAGACACAGACATGCACACACTCACACCAGGACCAGTTTTCCCAGGAGCTAATTAACCTGCCAGCATGACGTTTGACTGTGGGAGGAAACTGGAGCCCCCCGAAGAAACATAGGGAGAATGTATAGCCAAGATCTGCCATTGAACCGAGGGGCCCAGAGCTGTGACACAGTTATGCTAACCACTGTGCCTCTATGCCACCCCTTATGCAGTGAAAACTGATTACATGGATATTAAGGAAACGTTTTAACATTATTTTGTTTAACTGATCATTCCTTACTGACTGTAATACACTTCAGTGATTTTGACTGTTGAAAAAGCACTACGTGACCACAGTAGCTGATAAGGAGTTGATGTGGAGGTGGTTTAACCTCTTGAATGCTAAGCCTGGTGCAAATGAAGAAAGAGTTAACAGAGAAAAGGACCAATATGCTCTATGTTTTACAACAGAATCACTGAAGTGCATTACAGTCAGTAAGGAATGATCAATCAAATTGCTGCCACCAGCTATATCACCCTGCAACTCACAACTGGCAATTCACTGAAGCTCAGCAGGCGTGAGCCTGGCCAGTACCTGGATGGGAGACCTTTTGGGAAAAACTAAGGTTGCTGCTGGATGAGGTGTAAGTAGACCAGCAGGGGGCGCTCACCCTGTGGTATGTGTGGGTCCTAATGCCCCAGTATAGTGATGGGGACACTATACTGTTAAAAGGCTCCGTCCTTCGGATGAGACGTGAAACTGAGGTCCTGACTCTCTGTGGTCATTAAAAATCCCTACCAGCAGTGGAGCCAACATCTTGCTGAAGCAGGTTGTAGTCCACCCACAAGAACAATCAGTGAATATAGCACAGATGTGTAGAACAATTTGTTAATTATTGTGTTTCACTAATCAAGGGAGGGGGAAGTCGAAGTGTGATGGTCTGGACAGGTGTAGTCACTATTCAGCTTATTATTGATAGTAATCTAAATTCATGGCACTGTACTGAGCAAGTCCTGGGACCTCACGAAACAGACCTTCCCATGGGTACGTACTGATATGACAACATTCCAGCATGACAGTGCACTTATAGTACATACAGTACCTTCAGCTGCTTGTATCACAACATTTTTCTCATGAACTGGAAACGTGATAGTTATGTCTTGGAGCCCTATTTGTCAGAAGTTAGTCCTATTGAACATCTGTGAACACCAGTGGCCTGACATACACACACATATGTCCAGACTCTACGAAAGACACAGGATGGAATCCCACAAGGCAGCGTCTGGAACCTGGTGCAAGGAGTGTATCACAGTGTGGGCACAGGCTCCTAGCAGTGATCTTCACAGTGACCCCCTCTTGAGCATTCCAGTATCATGAAATTACCAATGTCATGTCTGTCAGTGTTGCACAAAAGTTAGCTTTTTCCTGTTAACAGCTTTCTGAATTTGTCGGAGGCTGTTGCTCAATATAAATTAAATGGATCACAATTATTTTCCTGAAATTCGAAGTATGCAAAAGCATAGGTAATTTGTACATATTCAAACATAAAGTTGAATGTGAATATAATAAGCTACTCTGCTAACTGGTAATAAGATGACACGTCGATGTACAATAATCTACAGAATGCAGACTGGACCAGATGTGCGATCCCCTTTGCTAGGAATATCAGATTTATAAAATAAGCAAAGCAGAAATGGTCTAAGAACATGCAATATCTAGTTAAATCTGCATGTATATCATTTGGAGATTCAAATAACACAAGACATTTTCATTCATTTGAAACCTTCGCCTTCAAATTACTTTGTCATAACCAGGCACTTATTTCACAGAGTGACTGCTCTAATAACACAGTCTGACACTTTTGAGGACAGAATGAAATTTAAGCTGTATCAACTGTGACTGTGTTAATGTGTGACTTAATCCATCATCCACGATCTCAAGGGAGAATTGAAGCCTCAGCTCTCTTTTCAAGCAAGTTAAATCAGGGTTTAAAATATTAGATAAAACCAGCTTAAATGAGCAAACGTAATTAGGGCAGGCTACTTCTTAAGCTTCTTATTTGGCAACTTCAGTTTCTCAGATATTCTGGAAATAATGTTTTATAAGTGAAAACTATTTGAGATTATCTTTGATATAAGTAGAAATAGAACTGGACTTTAAGACTGTACATATTATGCAAGACTAATGTTAGAGAATTAGTAAAAAAAGATGTACAGGTACAGTATACAGTATGTATTAACTGAATTCTAAATAAAATAATACTTTGGAAAATATAAAATGTGGATATAAGTACAGTTGTCAATATGGCTAGACACTCTCTTTAATTAGCCCTCTTTTTTTTCGTATTCTATCAGTCCATTTTCCGTATATGGTATCATTTCATATCTGGTGTTTCTTTTTTTCATGCAAAACAAGACATTTGTTCAAGAAAAGAAAACTGCGTCTAGTATTATTAATGGCAGAAGGTGAAAAATTCAGCTATTCTTAAATTAAAAAAATATACACTGTGTTTACTGTACAAACAATGGGAGAGGTTTTTGACAGCTGTACCTAAATAACTGTTCCTGTAATTAAATATTCACACTGCGTTCTGTATTGAATTTTGAGTGGTTTCTGAGTGATTTGAGTGACAACTTGCGTGATTCAGGTGTTTGTTCAGAGCACATGTTGAAGCCTACAGACCAGACATCGCTGGTTCGAACCTGGGTCAGTTACCAGCAGGATCTGAGACTCCCCATGCAGTGTGGGGCCACTGCATGGCCATTAGTGAGGCAGACCGCTCTCAGATTTTGGCCAAACAGTACCTCTTGTGACCTGCCAGGCATCTGCACACTTGCAGTGATGTGAGTGATGTGCACTGTGGACACTGCAGCATGATAAAACATGAATGACTCTCATTATCACTGTGTTGCAGGAGCATGTGTGCAGCCTTATTCTCTCAATGCAGTACAGCAATTGTAGTTATAAAGGAGAGCCTTAAACGCATAGTGATTCCAAGCTGGCTGGATACATCATAAAAAGACAATTATTGGTAATTTCACTTTTGGTAGAAATAAAACATACCAAAGTAAATATTATACTGCCTGCAATATCTGGCACTGAGGTGTTGCTTACAAAAGCTGGGGTTTTAGTTTTATAAAATGAAATATTTTTAAAGCCATTGTTGAAAGAAAAAACTGTGAAACATTTAAACAATAAGACAGAAACAAAATAAAATCTCTGAAAGTGGTTAAAGGACTGATTCCCTGCACATGCTACATCATAATATAAACTTGCTTGGCTCTCGAGCACATTAAGAATTTGCAAAAATATATATGGGAAACATTCAACAGAAAAGATGTAGAAGCTTCTATGTTATGGAATGAGTGGCTTAAATAAAAATGCCTAAACTTAATGAACTAAATTCCTTGCAGAGGACAGGCAAATCCTACATAACCATAGGTAGGGTGCTACCTGGAATAACTGATTCACGTGTTGTAATTCTAAATATCTTCAATCTTCAATCAATATCTTGATCAATTTTATTTAATGGTTAAACATTTGATCACATTTCCATGCTTTCCAGGATTCATGTATCAGGAGAGAGGATGCTTCAAAAAATTAGATTTTGAATGAATCTTCAGTTTGAATGCTTATTGTGCTCATCGTACACAGCACTAAGCATGCTACATATTGCATGCTGCATATTGAAATGGTCTAATCATTTCAGTTACTCTCCACTGTCTTATTTAGTTTGTAAAATAGATAAAAATATGTCTTACTAAAACAGAGAAACAATTAATTTTATAAGAAAAAGCTGCCCCAGTATGGAAACCATAAAATAAAACAAACAGAAGACTGAGCTACTATTTTACTTTTCTTATAATCAAATAATATTTGATTAATTATAATCAAATGGTAATATTCCACATCATATTGTTATTTCTGTATTTTAATAGTACCTATTTACTTTTTTGGTGTCAAGTAGTAAAAGGAAATCTGCACCTCACAAGTTATGTACAAACTTTTTCATCTTAATGTGAAGCACAGGACCATATACTGTATATGTTGGCTTTATGTTTAAGTGAAACTTGTGTCATTCTTAGTAATAAAAAACAGCAGTATTAACAAATGCTGTAGGTTGGTGAATGGAACTGGAATATAATATTACACATATATTGTATAAATAAATACACATACCAGGTTCTGCTGACACAGCCAGTAAAACTGCTGGAATTTCTGAGACATAAGGAGCTGAGCACTGCCTACGGCACTCCGGATTTTACCTAGGACTGAAAGAGAACACAATATTGAGAGAGATGGAGAAAGCTTGGTATTTCAATATGGTATTTGAATACTTCTGTCAGGAAAATCCCCAGTTAAATGAAACCATCCGATTTGTACTACCATAATTTGATGCCTTCAACATTTTTGTCCTTGTGATCATATTATGCGTTCCCAGACCTCTGAATCTATTTTTAATGATGTTTTCATAGCCTTTTCATTACTGTACCCAGATTTAGATTTTCTGGGAGAATTTCTTATTCGTTTGAGTCAAATCGGCCTCCAGGATGAGTAACTTTCCCTACTGGATGTTTATAGTTGTGGGCGATTAAAAAACAAAAAACAAAAAGCTGAACCCGGGCATTAAGCTCTGGCACGTGAACTCACTGTCCTCTGAGAGATCGTTCTCCTCGGCCTCCCTCTCCATCTCCTTGCACCAGCCCTCCATCCTCTTGGTCTCGGCGTGTAGCAGCTGCATAAACCAGCTGCCATCCCGCCGACAAGGTGACATCCGGCCTGTTTCGCCCACCTCGTGAGCAGCCTCCACCAGCCACGGCTCCGGCTGTGGGGTGGGGGGCTCGATGGGCGTCCGATAGTCCTCTCTGTAGCTGAAAAGGCCCTGCGTTCTTACAGTCCGTACAGCACCATATTGTGTAGGTGTGCTGGGTTCAGAATGGCGCTGAAACGACCCCCCAAACTGAAGCCCCTTATCCTCCATGGTGACGGGGAATCCCTCCAGTTCCAGGTCGGCCTGGACGGCAGCGGTGACACTGTTGGAACGCTTAAATCTTCCGTGTCTGAAAACAGACGGAAACATTTGGAAGAGGATGGAAGAGGGACCTGTGCTTTCCTCACTTCCTTCAACTAAACCTTTTTTATTATATTAATATAAATGTATAATATCATTTATTTTATATATTATATTCAGTGGTAACAATACAATAATTCAGGTGGGTAGCTGCGTCAGCATGCGTAGGCTGCAAAGGAACAAGTAATAGGTTTATTCCATGCTGTAAAGAGACGAAAGAAAACACAACGTTTCAGCTGTGGAGCTCGCACCCCAAGAAGGCTCCACAGCTGAAACGTTGTGTTTTCTTTCTTCTCTTTCCAGCATGAAATAAACCTATTACTTGTTCCTTTGCAACAATACAATAATGTCTGACATGCCTCTACAATGAAATCCATCCATTTTCTAACCTCTTCTTTCAATTTACAATCCATGAAGAAATATTATATATATGTTATCATATAAACGCATTTCCACAATAAAAAAAACATAAATATACAAATCAAACAACTTGTTAAATCAATTAATTCATTTAATATGGGGTTTGTTCATCATTATAAATTGATAGCTCAATTAAGCAATTAAGCACAGCTTGTATGAAAACTTGCAGGTGTGTGGGACTCGAGGACAAGGGCTGGGAACCCCTGTGCTAGCCTGCAGGTGTTATCCAAGAAGGTTTAATTATCAGAGTGCTCTCTTCTATTCTATTTTTGGATGCAGTGATATATCTGTTTGCACTAGGATTTACAAGCTGTTCATGTAATCAGACTGAGGAGAACTACACCTGCTTGTTATTGAACAGTTTGATAAAACTGAGCATACTTTGAATTAAAATAAATCAGGAACATAATAGAAATGCCGGCACTGAGATGTGTAATTTGAAAGCGTGACCCTCTTGGAATTTAAATATGTCAGCGAAGAAAACAACCCAGGGGACACTGTTCAGTTTATTGTAAAGAAAATGCTACCTTATGCATATATATCTAAAGAAAGTGTTTTGAAAATATCAGCTAATATAGCTGATGTATTGCAATATTTGTATACCTACTGAATGCAACACGTCTAACAGAACTGGTAGCCACTGTTTGTCTTTTCTTTAATTTCATTATAGTAATTCTTGTCTAGCAGAAATTAATGTAACTCTGTGAGAAGAAAAAGTGTGCAAATTTTTTTGGAAATTGGTGCATTTCAAACTTTCCTCACATTTTTCTCACTAAAACTTTTCTGGGCTGTTCAAAAACAAGTGTCTGTTTCCCTCAAGCCAGATCAGGCATGATGACCCCACTAGAGTCAGATTTCTACACATTCACCAAGAACAATCAGGCTTTTATCAAAACTGTGTTTAAATAAAACAATTAGGTCATTCGCTGGGAACATGACTGATTCTGCACTTGACCTACCGCTTCTCATCTTCCACTTGCACTCCGACAGAATGATATTCCCGAAGGCCTCTGCTTTCAGATTCCGAATCAGTTGCTGTTTCCACCTGATACAACACAAAGCCACATTAAAGACTGGTGGATGGGAGAAAAGGACCCGAAGACCTTTCTTTCTGAAATCCCAGATTCAGCGTTACTTCAAACAAGCGGAAAGATGAACAACAGCAATGTTAAAAAATCAAAATAGTTCAACAACTGATAGGATTGTGTTTCAGGGTTTTGCAGAAAAGGATAAATGAAAAGAAATGTAGGCCATACTGAACGGTTTACAGTGCAGTATAATGTATGTCATACTACCACCAATTAAAATAATAACAATTTAATTTTTTTAGTGTATTTCAAGAACATTTCTAAATAATATATGTGTGCTTGTAAATAATATATGTGCAAGCATATGCACAAAGCTTATAATTCCATTAAGGTGTTTCACCTCCAAAACAGATGGTCAGAATCATAAATTACTTTGAATGCTACTCATCTTCATGCTTCCCCAGTTAATTTGTAGTAAGCATGCATCACTCAGTGCACCACAAACACAAGCCTGGGTAATGCAATGTTTTGCTGATTGCTTGAATAGTTTGTTGTACTGTTCTTGCATTTTTATTCACATGTACGTTCAGAGTTTGGATATTCCTAAGTTTCAGACAGCGTATATTTGAAGTTCTGTACAGTGCCCTGTCTTAATAATTAATTTAATTAAGATGAAATGCACTGAGTCATAAAGATCAATCTTAAATGAAAAATTAGTGTCATTAAGAATTTGGTGCATAACAAACCCAGACTCGAAATATTCCTTGTAAGTATTATTCATTATTGCTTACATCGTGTTAGAAAATAAAAACTATTTTATGAATATTGTTATTAGATTATGATGGCAAAAATCTGATTGGGTGTTTTTTGTTGCTTTTTCACAAAATTATTTTGTGAGGTCAAGAGACTCCTTGGGCAAGTGCTGAAAGCAATTTTGATGTGAAGAGGGCACTGCAGGATTTTGGTCTGGGTTTGTCCTGAAAGTCAGTGATCCCAATCAAATTGCCACCAGTGCTAAACAAGAGCTTTATGAGCCAGTTACATCTGTATGCCTCACGCAATATTCCATGCATGACTCATTTTATGAGGCTCTCTGTTTCCTCTGAGCAATAAATACTCAGTAGTCCCCTTGATTACTCCCCACCAATTACTAACAATTATGACACAGAAAATCTCTCTTTTTAAAGTGAGAATATTTTCAGAAACTGTAATGTACAGTGATAATTCTGAGAATCTTCAAAACATTTTCTTTAGCATCCTACATTGAAGAAGCTGAAGTGAATAATGACAATATGGGAGGGAAAAAATACTTTTAATAAATATAAAAAAGGTTCAATCTCAATTAACAATTGTTTTCTTTGTTTCTTTGTCTCCGATTGCTTATTGTTTTTTTTTCAAATCCCTAGACAAACATTTATGGAAATAATTCAGGAGGGTAGCTGCGTTTTATTAGGTTTATTAGGTTTTTTATTAGGTTAATAGGTTTATTCCATGCTGAAAAGTAAAGAAAGAAAACACAACGTTTCGGCTGTGGAGCCTTTGTCGGGTGTCAAGGCTCCACCAACGAAAACGTATTTTTTTTCTTCCTTTCATTTATGGAAATAAACTATATATAATTTTAAAAGAAATGAAAATAATCCTAGATGAAAATACAGTCGTTATTTGACCTACTGTACCAGTATAGTTTTAGATTGTGGGAGGAAACCCACATGAACAAGAAGAGACCCTATAGACTCACCACAGATAGCACACCAGGTCTGGAATTGAACCCAGGGCCCCAGCACTGAAAGGCAGCATGCTAACTACAATATCTTTTAATTTTAAAATACGCCAGGGTCAATATCTACAATGTCATGACAGCAGTTTTCTATTTTGCTTTTGAAAGCTTTAAACAAACACTGCTTACAGTACATAAAATTAAAGTGGCAGTACAGCAGAGAAGCTTAAGGTAAAAATCTGTGAAGGTTCACATGTTAAATCAAGAGATTCTCCTCCTGAGTAAACAGGTCTTTAAACATGAATGGTTATCTCCGATACCTGACAAATTTTAGCTGTCATAGTTGTTTGGTGTGTCTGTGTATACTGTAAACAATGATGAAATGCTTGGTTTGTTCACAAAGACAGGTCTGCCATAGCAGCTGGGCAAACTGTGAACCTCAGCTGTTTTTAACATTCATAGTATTCATCATTTAGAAATATAACCCATACTAGTCATTGATAATGTTCTACAAACGTCAAAATAAACAGTACAGTTGGGACAACAAACTAAAATTAATCAATTTAATTTCTTGATTTATACAGCAATTCCATCACAAACAATTCCAAAGTGCTTTTTATATAGGTGTGGGCCCATTTCATATACTGTACCACCTCTACAGCAGTCATTATGTGCACCAGCCCCACTGATATTTTTATTCACATTTGATTTGAGGAGGATATTTGGGAAGCTCAGACTGTGAAAGCCCAAAGTTCAGTTTAACTAGGACACTGCAGTTAAGACCCTTACTCTTATGAACAGCGCTTTTGGATCTGTAATGTCCAAGTCGTCAGAACTTTTATTTTATGTGTCCACTAAAGGGTGGCACCTTGTATAGTACTGTGTCCCTGGTGTCACCATAAGGGGCATTCCCTTTGAAAGTCTGGGCTAGAAGGCAGAGCGCCACCTACTGGCCCACTAACACCACTTACACCTGCAGCTTGGTCTTCCTTGTAATTCTAAAACTGACCAAGTCCACCCTTACTTAGCTTCTGATTCATCTAGTAAATGTGTATCCACACCTAAGGCACAGTTCTGTCAAGGCATGTTTTGCCAGACCATTTGGAATCCTAACCTGCATGTCTAACAACCCTAACAAACCCTCATGTCTGCTTTCCTTTTCTGCCTAAACAAATTGCCTAAAAATACATCAGCCAAGCTACAGTACAGTGCATCAACAAGAAATGTCTTTCAAACACAGATATAGAAATGAAGAGTCTCCAGGAGTCAAGGAGGTACTTGAGCATGTAAAATAATAGGATATGTTACTCTGTCTTAAGGGGACTGAGGTCTATTTTTTCCTTTTCCTGATTTATGTGTAATAAAAACGTTAATTAATTTTATTTCAAAGTCTCATCTGTCTCTGCACTGACAATTTCTTCCAGGGCGTATAAACTTGAATACAAGATAAATCTCCATCAGGACTTACAGTAAAATCAGTTTTAAATAGTGAAAAGTAATAATAATCATGATAGAGCAAAAATAAAATAGAAAAGAAGATGGTTAACCATCTATAATAATACAATGTTTGAATAACAGGAATTAAAAGCAAACCTTGAGGTCACTTAGCCTCCACATTTTAGGCCACACATCATTATTTACAGATTTAATAAATGTAGTATTTTTATTATTTAACTTTCAAGCTAAATGAAACAAAAACAAAACTTTTTAGTTTATTTTTGCTAAATGCAATTGCAAGTAAAGAGCAAAAAACAGAATTTTACTTATCCAATTAAAACATTGAGCGTTATAGAACACTTATAGAAAAGCTGTCAAAGTAATGTTTACTATAACAATGTGGATCTAACAGAGTAGCTTACCATATAAACAAATAACTGCTACTGTATATGTATATTGTTTTCTGAAGTACTTTTACATCTACATATTTGTATTGTAAACGATACTGAGGGTGAGCTTAGTGACTTACTCAGAATTGATGTTCACTGGGTGGACAGTTTTCAATCTTTTCTAATGCGCCCTTTGACAGGGTTCTTACCGAATTGCCCAGAGTCAGCATCCAAATCTAGGCACATCCCAACCCCATCTTGCAGCAGATGGATTTTATCAATTCATTTCCATTTTGCTGGAGCCCAGACTGACAAATCCCAACACTACCCCTTCAGCGCTTGTGCATACTGTGTCTTGAGGAGATAGACCCAAGCTCAAGCCTGCACCCATTAACTGATTTTGATGTGTTTTTAGTCCATTGTATATTTTACAAGACAAAAGTAGAAAATTGGAATGTCAGAAGCTCTAAATGCTATTGTCCATAAATACATTTTAATTGATTACTGGATTTGCAAAAAAAATAATCAGTTGGACTGTTATTCTCCAAAAAAGGAGAGACGTTATACAGTATATGTGATGTACAGTAAAGAGCTCCAGATTTTTCCTTATTTAAAAAATACAATTTTTTACTCATTCTTGTTACCACTTTGATGCATAATAATTAAGGGGTAATTGAGACTTTACAGAACTTTACAAAACCATTATCTGCTGTTAAACCTTAGTAGGAAAAAGTCCCAAAGCATCCAAACACTATAGCTAGTATGATGACTGAGAAAATAGTTCTCATGTCCAACTGTTTTCTCACGACTGAGAAAAAAGTTGGACAGCAAAGAAACTGCAGAGAGGACTTAACAGATAATGGTGTTTGTAATAATAGTGTGCAACTGATATAATACAGAAAAGGCGGGTGCTAATTCACCATATTTACTACTGCGGCAGGCATTTAAAGAAAGCAGGCTGGTGTGTGATGGACACATTAATCCATGCTGTGCTGGCAGATACTGCAGCTTTTCTGCTGCACGTTCTGTGGAGCCATGTCTTCATGAGGTGAATTCTAATTAATGCTGGGAACCCATGGGTTATGTGTGGGATTACTGGAGCCAGCGATGCCGAATGGCTCATTCCAGGCTATTTAAAGAAATAGATCCAGCACAAAACAGATGTTAATGAGAGGTTACCTGAATCCCTATGGAGGACCGCCGGCTCTTCAGATATTCCTCTGCTTTGGACACCAGGACGGCCTTGTCGCAGGTGATGACAGATGTGTGGCTATCGGTGGACGCATGGCGCTTGCCAGCTGCTGTTTCCATGGCGAGGGTGACGGCTTTGGTGCTGTCGAGGCTGTCTGTGGAGTTGTACAGTCCCCTGCCATCCTGGGGCCACAGACCTCCCCGTGGGAGCCTGCTGTCGTGGTAGGCGTCTTGCGTGGATTCGGTGCTGCTTTGCGCCGTAACCGAGATGAGGGGCTTGGAAGTTGTCCTGGGTGGGACAGGTGGAGGCGTCTTTTTGTAGCTGGGAGTGTACGTCACAGCTGGGGGACCAGAGAACACAAATTGAGAAACCTGTGAGAACGCCCAGTGAGCAAAATATATGTCAAACAGACACTGTAAATAAGAATATGTGCTTACAGTATTTGAGAATGATGGCTCGTTGGAGTTGAACAAAGTAATATCATTATGAAGTCATGATGTAAATAAAGGTTTTTTATACTGCTTTAAAACGTTGACTTTCGTGGCAAAATAATATGAATGTCTTATCTCTGAACTATAAGATGAATAAATACAAGTTGTTTGAATATTGTGAATATTTGTACATTTTTGGGGTATTTTGATGAAAAATATATTAATGAAAAGTGTAAATGGGATAGTATTCTTAATCTTTAGCAGCTGATAAACTAATCATAATAATGGCATATTGTATACGCTTTTTTTTTAAAGAATTTCAGAAGGAAAATACATATTTAGTGATCAGGATTAACAAGGGATAACAACAGCAAGTTAAAAGCGAGAATGTTAAATGGGAAAAATGGATGACTTTCTGGGAGAGACTGACTCATTCAGTTCTAGAAATAAAGAGGTCTTAATCAGATTCATTTTGTCTAATATTAATAGTTTCTGACATAATGTCTCTATACACAATAGTTCAAAATGACGATTTGCTGCTGAATTATTTATATATGTTTTCATATACAAATATACTTATTTGTATAAGACATTATACGTGATTTTATCATCTAGTATAATTGACAAATGAATCATGCAAGAAGGACACTATTATATAATATATTATATTATATAATTATATAATATATAATATGGGACTATCATGACCGCATAAGTATTCAAACCTTTTGCTGAGGCAAACCAAAATTAATTGAGGTGCACAAAACTACCTTAAGGAGCCACAAAAATGGCCTCTGTCTTTGTGTAATAATATTGTTTCTCATGATACACCTATTTCTACATCACCCTTCAGACAGGTAGTGAATATCAAGCAAAGTTTCAACTTTTGAATTGCTTCAATAAAACTTCGATGAGGAGAATATACTGTACATAAGACTCTTGAAAGACCCTGAAGACCATATCAAAGACCCATTGAGAAATGGAAGGCACCCAGACACAGACACTATCCAAATCAGGCTCCAAACTGAGTGGCTGGGCAAGCTGGCTTGGGTGAGCACTGTGAGGCCAACAGCAACTTTGAAAGAGTTCAGTGGCCGAGATGGGAGAAAATATCCATGGGTCAACATCTCCATCTCTCCACAAAGGAGGAACTGAAAGACAATACCTCAAATCCTGCAGTTGGTTTGCAACAATGTACCTACTGTAAATGATACTCAGAGAAAAAAATTGATCTTTTTGGTCTAAATCCAAAATATTCAATCTGATCTTAAAGCAACATAGTGCATCACTCAGACACCACCTTCACTACTATCAAGCATTGCAGTGTTAACAGTATATTATTGTTCCGCTTCTTATCAGCAGGGACTGGGAAGCTTGTCTGGACTGATGGAAAATACAGATAGAGCAAAGTACTGGAAAGAGGAAATCTTGCTTCAGACCTAAAACTGGGGAAAATGTACCTTCCAGCAGGATAAATACCTAAAGCACAAGGTCAAAGCTACCCTGAGGAAGCTTAAGAATAAGAAAGTGAATGTGTGGCCTAGTCAAAGTCCTGACTTTATTCCTATTAAGAATCTGTGGAAAAACTAGAAACCTGTGGCCCATAAGTGATCCCTAAGCAACCTGTGAAAGCTTGAGCAAATCTACAAAGAAGAATGAGCACAAACTGCACTGTGACTGTAATTACTGACAATGTGCTACCACCAAATATTGAGTTTGCATGTCTAAATACAGTACTTCTGCAATCAACACATTTAGTTTTTGTTGACATTTTCTCTAATTTATTTTAACCTTTGAAGTCTTTAATCTGAGCATTCGGGATTTTTGCTAAAATAAATCAAAACATTAAGTTTAAGATGTGTTGGTATCATTTTGTAATATCACAAAATAAGACACCATAGGAAAGGTCTAAATATTTTTGCATTTTGCAGTGAATATACAGTGTGTGCATTGTATATAATGTTTATGCAGTATAATATATTGTGATTGATTACTTAAATGTTTCATAATGTTTATAATGGAAATAAAAAAAATCAAAAAGCTTTGGAAAAATTAGTTACTAACATTTTGAACATTTTGCCCTAAACAAGAGGCAGAGATATCGATTCCTAACTTCAAAATATTGTATACTGTAAATGATTGTAACTGTGGAAAACAAGATGCAGTTGACTCAAAGAAAAACAGAGACACCTCTTAAAGTAGTATCACACCACAGATTGGTTTGAACCCTATAGAAGAATATTCAAATTTAGGTGAGCTATGGTACTGTTCAATATGTACCAGATGGCAAGGAAGAGAAATATCATGCTTTTATCAGTGCATGCTACAGTTTTCGATCAGATTTAAAAAAATTCAAAACCTATAAAATACCAAATAAGAAAGTCAAAGTCTAAAACACATCGGTGTAAAAAACTCAAATATACTACATGTGGCTGTAGATAATGGCAGAGGTTTCCACTGTGTTCCTGTAACTTTGTTTTATTTCCAATATATTTTGTACCCTAGCCTACTCTAATATTTTACTTTATTTCTCTGTGCAATATTTATTTTCAAAGAAATTCTTATCTATATAGTAAAATTACAGCTCTAGAGACGATATAATTTTACACCATCATTCACCATGCCGTCATCTATGAGTGAAAAGTGAGAGAGCTTTAACAGCAATTATATCTGCACATACTTAAGTACAGTATTTATAAATATAAATATAAACCACAGTACCGAACTGCACAATCACACGAATGAATTATGAGCACCAACTCTTTCAGATATTTCAGATAGTCTAAAGCACAAATTATGAACCTGTTCAGATGCTATGCTGTTTGTTTGACCTTTAACTGTAGGATTTTAATGGATCTAGTGGAAGGCGACTGAAGTTGACCTTTTGTTCTGGTGTTTGAAGCAAAATGGGTCATATTTTTCATTTGTCTAACACTGAAGTTTATGAGCAAGTGTTGATTCATCAAATATATTAACTTCAATTTCAGTTTCCAGTCCTGCAGATTTACAATCCGGTTGCAGATTGACCATGTAATAGCACTGAATGGATCCGTATTGGGTGCTTAGGACCCATGGGTTGTGGACAGGGCAACTCTTAAGAACATTTTTGAAGGCCTTTGCCATGTGTTGGCTTAAGTTTTGCTTAATCGAAAGGAACAGATGCGAACTCTAATTGCCAGCCTACCACAGCTTGGCCGGAATTTGCAAAGGATCCAGGACCAATGACTGTCCAGATTAACTGCCCCACTAATCACATCCTGCAGAAGATAATGACAACTAGATCCATTAGAACTGGTAGGTTTTGGTTGAGGTGCTTCAAGTGTGCTCGTGGGCAAGGTCACTATGATTAATCCGGTACAATTTCCTGTTGTATAAACAGACACAAATGTATTATGCTTTGGGTACAATTGCCAGCCAAATTAAGTTATATACAGTGGCATTATTTTATTTAACAATTGGCTGGAAATAACTTTATATGTCAATCTCATCTGCTGCTCATTACCCAGTAGTTAAAACTGTCACCAGTTCAAGCAGCATTTCTCTAGATTTAGAACAGCCTCCATTGTACTCTATGCCTGGGATAAGCTCTCCCACAAAGTGAAAGAGAGGGTGTATATACATTTCTGTAGTACAAGAGCAATACTGTATGTTTTTTATTTTACTAGTTCTCAATCATGTATATGGAGCCCAGAGTGATAGACAGTATACAGTACTTTCTACATAGCTCTAGTCTGTGTTGAACCAGCATGTACTTTATAGAAAACAGCTGGCACAAACATGTCATTGACGTATTAATGAATAATACTGTTGAAAATAAGTATGACTGTCACAAACATCTGAGAGGAGGAACTGTACTATTTCACAAGACGTATAGATAGTGCACTTCTTTCCATCAACATCGCACCAACAAAAGAGCAAGAACATATACAGTATTTTTTAGGATCCATACAGTATCTCTTTAAACGAACCCAGAAGCTTGCTTGAAAGAAGACTGCATTTAAATTTAGCTAGGGATCTCGCCCAATGGGTAGCTCTCCTTGGAGTCATGAAGCTCAGCGGTGGCCAAATCTCTAAGGTGGGTGGTGAGTGTGTGATGCCCCCTGAGATGGCAGAAGGAACGGAGGAGGCCTAACAAACTGCAGAAGCAATTAAGAGTTTAAGGAAGAATTACAGTAAATGACTGACCAGAAGGGAACTTTGTTGTACAACCTACAGTAAACCAAGGCAAAGTTTAGCATGACATTAAACATACTGGTACCAATAAGGTGAATTTGTATATATTTGTATCCACTTTGTACAAAATTTTAATTTTTTCAATGAGTATTTAATGTACAGTATACTCTCTCAGGATTTGATAAGGTAACATTGTTAAAGGCGATATTCTCTTTTTTTCTTTTTCTGTATGTGTTTTCCAGAGACCAAAAAGGAACCTTAATTTCTAACAGCCTGCTCTAAACAGTCACTGTGATTTGCTCATGCATTATTGTTAGTCTTTCAGTCCTGAATCCGATGAACGCACATGTGAACCTTCACCATTCTAATTGCAGAATCCTGGTTGCAGTTTTCAATAAACCATAGTTTGACAAACCATAAGGCAGAGTTTTCCTCAAAACCTACAGTACATTAAAGACTAACATAACATTTAATTCATTGCCTTGTCAGAAATCTGAAATTTAAAAGTAATTGCAACCTAGCCTTTAAACACATTTTGATTTGGCTAATTATTTGCTGAGAGGGCTGTCAGTGTTCCACTTGTGGAAATAATTTTCTTAAAACTGTGAATTCTACCAGAAATTAAGAAAATGTAAAGATACAAACAGCTTTTTCATAGGGTGTTCTGACACATGAAGAAGCCTCATCAAAAAATTTAATAACTATCGGCCTTTTATTTTAAATATGATATTTTTAG